ATTTAACTTTTCTAAGTTATGAATCAAAGGAAAGTGTCATGTATGGTTCTGTTTACAAACAATATCAAAGAGTGGCTGAACAAATGTTCATCATAATTAGCCAGAATTTTGTAAACTACCTTTACCCATGTACAACACCAAAACTACATACCCATAAAGTCCAGTTTCAAATCCATGTATGAACCCTAGAGTATTTTCATGCAAATATGTGCACATAAAAAACAAGAAACAGACCTTGGACTGTTGCAAGTGGTGCCCAAGCATGGAGTGATTTGTTATTAACAGAAGCAATAAACTTCAAATATGCCACATCTACATGCCAGCAGAAAAAAAGAAAGTCATGCTATAAAATCTGGTGATGCAGAAATTACAAAATAAGATAGTTGCATAAAAGGTTCAGTCAGGAAGGTCAACTTGGAGACCTGATCACAAATGGGAGGACAATATTACAATACATCTTACAGAAACAGAAACATGAAGGTGAGGACTGGATTCATTCAACTCAGGATAGGGTACACCAACAGGTTTTGTGAACATGGTAATGAACATATGAGTTCCACAAAGATGAGCAACTATGAGCTTCTCAAGGACTGTGCTGAATAGAGTCAGTTTCCTTAAAAGTTTAATACTGAATACGGAGCAGGAAGTTTTGCTTGAATTTGTTTTGGCAAAAACAAACATGTATGGTTCTTGAGTACACATGCAAGTTGTATCCAAGATATAGAGTGTGAGGAAAGGCAGGGGAGATATGGAAATTATTAGTTGGAGAATCCTAGTTCTGATCCCATTGTTTTAACCCTGAGAGGAGTCACCACACAAGGGTTTAATTGGAAGGAATGGAACACTAAAAAGTGTTACGTATGATAGGTAACAAAACCATAACTTAATTATGCTCATTCCATCTTTGAGGTAGTTTCAAGTATCAATGTTGCAATAACCTCCCTACTTATCAAATAATATTAAACTTTAGATAAATATGAACAATTTGGGTCACAGATTGACAGTGAAAGAAATGAGAATACAAACTGTGCAATTAGAATCAGTATTGTGAGTTATGGTTTTCTGTATGTGCACAGTTTAATCTTGTAGAGTAGTTACAAATGTTTAGGAAGAATGTGTCACCTTCTTCAGGGAGGTCATACATTTATACAAAACATTGGTAACTACCTACCAGTACCACAGTTTGACACAACCTGGGAGGCCACAACTCATGGTTAAAATGCTGTAAAAACAAAACTTAATTAAATAAATAAATAAATTAAAATCAATGCTTCTGCTCTTGTGTTATGGTGATGCCTAAGTTCTGTAGCAGTCAAACTGAAAGCTGAATACCACAGCTACAATTCTTGAAGGATAATTCTCATTTGTTCAACATTATAAAGCAATTACTTGAAATGTTGGTCACAATAACAACAATAAAACAAAACAAAAGGAAAAGTATTCTGTGTGATATATTAGAATGAACATAGACATAGATATTAAACCACCAAAATAAATAATACAAACTCACAGTTCAGATCGGTAAGACATGCAATAAAGGGTGTATATCTGCAATGAAGGAACATCAAGGTCAATAAGGTATGTGAACTGCAAACAACATATTTACAAAACAGATGTCTGTCTTCCGGATTGTAGAGCTGTATAGCCTGGTATTAGTTTATCAATGTTTCACAGGTCCTTGCTACCTTCATCATTAAGGCGGTGATCACCCTGGTGATAAAGGCAGCAAGGAACCATCAATAAATTTCTGCCAGACTACACAGCGCAGCAAACCCACAAGACAGCCATCTTCATACTCAATGCCATGAGAACCACAAATCCAACACATCTGCAAATTTATGTAGACCTTCCCATTCTTGTCCAGTTCAACAATACATTAAATTAATTAGAAGCTCTGTGTTGAAGCAGTCTGTCACATCTGTTAACAATGGAATGTTGCAGTCAGATGATTAGCATTCCTACTTCATACCTGGCAAGTCCCAGTTTCAAATCTCAGCCCTGTGAATGGCTATCTTGATTGAGGATTTTCATGGCTTTCCTTGGTTCATCCAAGTAAATGACAAGATAGTATCTTAAATTAGGTGATGACCACTCCCTTCCCTATATTTTGTAATTCAATATTCATTAATCATCCGATCATTGAATGCTACATAATCCAAACAACTGACAGCATCATTAAATAAATCACAAATAAATAAACCACACACATCTGTCAACCCACCTTAATATACTACTCCATAACTTACATTCTGGTGCTAATGTTCCTCAGTGAAACAGTACAGTTGTATAGCTAATCTACACAGGGAATTTTGTTAAATGGAAACATACAGATGGACACTCAAGTGTTTATTATAAGACCTCCAAAGTTTTAAACTTCACAGCCTTAGCAATTAATATCTCTATATAACTGATGGTAAAATGAAAATACAACAGATACTTGAGAGCACAATACAGCTTCAAAATTATGACACAACAAACATGACTAGGGCCAGTTCCTCTTTAATGTCCCCAACTAACAGAAAGTTGTACAGTCTGAACCACAATGAAAGGTAGTGTATGCACACCAAAATCCCAATAATGCTGGTGCCTTTGCCATGTAATAATTAAGATTTTGGTTTCCAATTCTCTCTTCAAATTTATGATACTTAAGTTTTCACCATGGTCCATATTCACTGCAAGGTCTTTTGGGTGGTGCACCATGTCAAAAAGACAAAAGCGTCCAACATTTTGGAGTTGTTCTGGCCTTGAAGGAGACAGATCCTCCAAAATGGTGGGGCATTTTTAACTTTCCAATGCTGCACAACACCAAAAATACCCTGCAATAAATATCTCCTAAAATGGTAATGGTAATTTTATTGTATTTCTTTTCTTTCTCTTTGCTTTAAGTATAATGATGTCTAAAATCATTACATTAACAAACCATACGTAACATCCAGTATAAAATATATTAAAAATTATAAAAACTGACAAAATTCACAGTGATAAACTTGTAAATAACAATATTAAAACTGGCTAGAAAAGAAAGGGCCATCATAATATTTAATAACCATGACTCACAGCCTTGGCATATTGAAGAGAATCCCCTTTAACACATGGTGTATACAATACAGGAAGGAATGTATGGACAAGAAAAAGTATTCCAAGTGATGGGTTTCATGTTAATGGACTGAATGATTCAAATGCCATGCTTTCCAAATGCAAGAAATTTAGTTACACACAATATTGAAAACACCACCATTAGACATTTTCAAGATTCCTCTTAACTATTATTACTACTAGCAATGCCAATTTGGCTATTCTATATTTATTTCCACAATGGAAAATTTGGGAGAGAGAGGGTAGTTTTGCATCTGAAGCATAATTCTTAAAGAAGCGAGCAATTTCTCTGGACTTCTACCTCCAAAGAGAACCTTGTATTTACGCTTTTTCTGACATAACATGTTTCGTGGATACCCCTGTGCATTTTCAAAAAAGAACTAAAAAAATCAGGACTCCTTCTCCAAGATAAACATTATTTATATTTAAAAATTTTCTGTGATAAACTGGCAAGTTTTTTTCCCATTCCTGTGCCTAATTTTCCCAACAGCAAACAATCAAATGTTCCCAGGACTCTGTCTCCATGAGAAATTTTTTTTGTATTCAACACTTTTCCTACAATATGCTATTTGGGAAACTAGAGTATGATGGACTGACAGATTTGGGGTATTAATTGTGTATGGATTACAGGATGCCTCCATGTATTTTCTCACTTCCACCCCCAAATCTTATAACATTTAGCAGAATCCCCACTGGAGTGATTTTGACATATTTAACTATCTCTGAGCCTGAACGCTTTAATCTCTTCTATAAAAATAATAATTCCTAACCTTAGCACTCAACAATGTTCATGTTTTACTGCCTCCTAATGAAGAAGTTAACCATTTTCCTTCTAATACCAAATAAACTTCAGTTTAAAAATGTTGCCCTAAATATATTATCCTGAGTTAACTTCTAGCAATTATAATTTTGTGAATACAAATTATTATTTCAATTTCTTTAATTTTTAACAATCATTTGAGTTTCTTCTTGCCAGATGGAATAAGTCATCTGTAGTCCACTGACAGAGATTACTCTTGAAGATTTCTTTCATACTTCATATATCATACATTCATCTGACAGTCTTTTGTGAGTAGCTGTGATCACAGATGTTGGCATGGTTAATGCTATGTAACTGTGGAACAAAATGTGACTGACTGATGTGGAAAAAAATTTTGATGAGTCTGAAAGGCATACTTCTACATCAGAACACAAATTACAGACTCAAGATTCAGTCACTTCTCTTGATACACAAGCCCTACAATAAGCGGAAGTAAAAAATTCAGGTCCACCATACACAGCAAGACATCTAAGCAGGTTACGAGAACTCAGAATAAATAAAGAGGCTGTTTACATGCAGAACATTTTTTGTGTTGCAAAGTTCTTTTAAGAAATTAGTCACCTACACTACTTCATATATGTTCAAATATCTCAGAACTGAACTAAAGTAATGTCACCCCCCCCCCCCGTCCCCCCCCCCCCCCCCTTGTAAGTCTGAAAAAAGTCCCAAGGTAAATGGTCAACAAACTTTATGATGCTCTGATCATATAATGTATCAGGAAAGTGTTCATTTCACATACTGGCTCCATTTGATTAATTTTATGAACAATTAATGAAAAGTAATTTTCAATATCAGGGCAAAATCCAGGGTTCTCTAAATAGAGTCAGAAGAAAGTTAATGTCAAACAATACCATGAATTGAGAACAGCTGAAATATTTAGCCTTGAATATTGGAGAAATGTATGTTCCCACATTTATGCTATACTTGAGCCAAGAACAGGATTATTAAATTAGGATTAGAATGATAAAATGCATGTGCTTCCCCTAAATTAACAAAAACAACAAAACCACTGTTCTGAGATGAATGCATAGTGTGGAATAAAATATTAATTTCCTCACTTTTTGTACTTTAGTGGGCTAGCAAGTCCATTTCCAAAAATTAATTTATTCTTACATTTAAAATAAAAATTTCAGTACATGATTGCAATGTGTTAAAACTTGTATACGTTTGTTTTCAAACAACTGCATTATGTAAATTCCATGTACAATATTTTGTATTTATGAAGTTTCCAAGATTCTAGGACCTATTTTTTTATTTATACACAACACAACAATTTAGCCATACAATTTGATGCAAGTCTGTTTTTATTTCAAATTAACATTTATCTTGACTTGGCAGAGTATTTCCCATTCATGTGGCATCAGAAACTGTTTGAAAGGATAAGCAAATACAAATGAAGACAAAGGCAGGCAGTTAAATAGATTTGAAAAATATAAAATGAAGGCAAGCCTTTTGTTCTTTAATTGCAATAATTCCTACCCTTACCCACATTCTGGATTTCTTGCTTTCTGCTTTTATTTTACTTACTAACCAAGTATCCGAATGAACACATATTCTGCATTACCAGTAGTGCAGTATGATTAAAAATAATCTTAGCACTCTTCAGACTTCAAAACTTTTTTCTTTTGTTCGAATGTGAAATTGTTATAGTTTATACACAAATAAAAACATGTTTATTTCTTGAATCCTTTAGAAGATTTTAATGTAGGGGTATACTTATAGTAGGAGTTGACAGACAGAAATATTGACAGCCGATGATTAAAAAAAATATACAGCCTTTTCGAGAATTAACGCAGAGTCCATCATAATGTTTCGCACGCCAGCCATAAAGTGATATTTTAGTATTATGCTTGCGTAACCCAATTTGAGTATCCAAATATTAAAACCAAAACTGCAGGCCAGAAAACCTATGTCAAATCAATGCCCATTAGCAGGCACCTATGTTTATCTTCTGGTCTGTCATTATCAAATAACTGAGAATGGCATGTCAAGCAAATACAATTCCCTTCAGAAAATGTGTTTCTGAGCATGCATTTGAAAATATTCAGAATTAAAAAAAAAAGAAAGAAAAACAGAAACTGCCCAGTATCATGACTATAACCACTTTAAATTCAAAGAAGTTTTAATAAAACCAGCCATAACTTCTCTCATTTTCTTTCTTTTTTCTTTTTGTTTTAATAGCTTTAAAAAACACACACAGACAGACCCCAAGTACAAAATTATTGAGTAAACAATTCGTGATACTGTACACTTGCCTTAAATAAGATCACACATCACCATTACTGCTGCATCTGCGGAACATCACAACTCCAGTTTGTTCATTTCCCTAAAACACTTGATAACAAACAACGTTTATGGCCCATTTTGCTTCCATCCCTAGTAAAGAGTTATGCAAGCAAGCAAGCAAGCGTGCGAACCTAGACCTCCAGTCACTGTTAATGACTGGCAACAGGACTTTGCTGTACACAGACCCCAACCATAGGACTGTCCTCCCTGTCACTGTTGCTCTGCCCTGTGGGGCCAGGGCCCCCGCTTGAACCTTGCCGACCCAATTTGCTTGTCGCCGAGTCTGCGAGGCTACTTCCAGTCCCCCCTGGCATCACTGTTGCAAAGTTGTAGCCCATGGGGTTTGAAGGTGCACCATAAGATGTGGCAGCAGCAGGGTAGAAGCCCCCTGTTGCTGACACAAGGGGAAGGTTGAGGCTACCAGTTTGAGTGCAGTCCAAGCTAGGTCCAGGTGGCATAAAGCCTCCTACTGCATGATCTATCCCTGGTTGATGACCAGCTAGTTCCAGAGGCAAGGACGAAGGGGCATATGAAGGAAGGAGACCCCCAGAACGCTGCTGCTGATAACGAGAGGTACGATGGTGTGCATGTCCATGGTGAAAATGTGTAGGGCGCGGTGGGGGAGCCACTGCTGAGTTGGTGGTGACTGATGAGGGGAAACTCTCGCACTCCATTGCTGTCTGTGTTGTAGTACTCTGTGTGTAGTTGCTGTAAGGCACTCCCGTGCCTGAACTGCCATGATGGTGCCCACTCCCAGGCAAAACCACTAGGGGGTCAGACCGAGAGTAACTCCCAGACACTGAGCTCACCAACACTGCATAGCACAAGACAGTTCAATTAATAATCACAAAATGGTGATCATAACCATACTTGAAACATTTAGTTAGTTGAGGCAACCTTTAACTTAACAATAAATTAACCTATGTAGCAAATTTATTGATGTAAAGAATATACTCGGAAGAACAAAGATATTTTCAGATAAAGAAGTCATTTTCAGTTACATAATGTTTCTTACGCTTCACAATTCTACATGTGTAATGACATCTATGCCTTCTTTTGTTAATAAACCTGGCAAGACTTCAGAGGGCTGACGAAACATAAGCAACTGCTAAGCAACATCTTATGAAATATTTGACTTTCACATTATTCTGATATGTAAAGCATAATTATTGCCTTGTGTAAAAGGTAATCACAAATAATGCATGATTTTATTTTAAAGAAGCTACTGTTTGTAGGCAATCAGGTAGCACTTTTAATTACAGTCATTTTTCAAGGTACTCCTTCCATCTGCAGAACATGTTTGTTCCAACATAAATAAATTTTATCACATTTCATTAAAGAAAAACCTTTCACTTTGTCAACACCACTCACAGACTGCAGGTTTCACCCTGTTAGTCAACCTGAATTTCTTGTTCCTGATGTGCTCTTCTCAGCACCGGAAACAGACATAAGTCAGAGTAATTGAGGGTCGTACATACAAAGGCTCAAGGAAGGGGAGGACAAAAATTAAGTCACTGTATTCACAGTAAGATTAGCAATAAATGGATGACTAAGCACTGACATGGAGAAAAACACCTTGGAAGAGGTGGTCAGGTGGCTTCTTCCTTTGGACTCACCGCCATGAAAACCCCAAATCCTATTCTTCCTTATACATGGTTTCAGAGCTTAAATAAATAAACAAATAAATTTTAAAAACAAAATATTGTGCCATTTTCATACCACAAAACTACTTATCCCTAAAAATTCCTCTATCCCTGATATCTTGAGCAGGACAAATAAAATAATATATCTATCCATCTGACGAAATTTCCAAACAATGCTGCTCTATGTAATTACTGTTAAACGTTAATTTCTGCCATGGGACCTCAATTTAAAATTGGTACCCAAAGAAATTAACATTAATTATATCTGCAATAAATTAACAAGGAGATCTAAGAGAAATGCAGATTCAAAGAGAATGCATTTGGGAAATGTGAATTCCACACGAATACAAACGTCCACTCTTCTTTTAACAATACACATAGTGTCAAACAAATGTGAATATAATTTTATATGTTTAATTTAGACGATGGTTTGGAAGGAGGCAATCATTCCTTATTTCAAGGAGCAATCACCATTTGCCAACACCTGTGGCAATACAAATGTAGCGTCAATCAGTAATAAAATCTGATAGTGTCATGCCATTTTGCTTCCACTAGCTACAAAGACAACTCACTGGAACTCACTTATATTATCACTAAACTACACAGCGCTAAATCCATGTTCCATAGCTTCCAATGCATATCAATATGATCCAAAGTGTATGCTTTTTTATTATACCATAAAAACACGTTTGAAAAAATAACTGTTTCCTTAATAAAATTGCTAAAGGCCTACCTCCACATAAAAAGGACACATTCCTGAGATGATCTAAACTTGCAAAACTAATTAAAAAGGTTGTGGACTCTGATACATTTATATAAGTACCCTTTTAATAAATTATTTATTTATTCTTCTACTTACAATGCTAACATCACCTATCTTTCTTTTGAAAGGCATGGGTGCATGGGACAAAAATTAATGAAAAAAGCTACACTTTGCAAGACACTGAAGATATAACAGTGAGGCATGGATTGAGGCAAACTGCAACAAAGTATATATGGGTTTCAGCTGTGAATAAGTAAAATCACACATAGCAGATTCAGAAATATGGTAACAAGACTGCATTGTTATGAAACATTATTGCCATATTATTATGTGTAGCATTCACCATCACACACATTACTGCCTGAATTAAAAAACTGATAATAATGACAATACATCAAAGGGGAAAACCTTAATTCTTTTAAACTTGACAATATATTATGCATTATGTTCTGTAAATGTTGTGTAAATAATGGAGAAGAGGGTACAATGCATGTGTCCCTTCTGTTACACATACAACTGGAATGCAAATAATTCTGAACTCCCACAAGTTCTTAAATACAGCTAATGAAATGTACCTCGAGTAACCTACGACTAGTACAGAAAGCTGACGGTAAATAAATAAATAAATAAAAAAAAAAGTCAATACAATTAAAATGATAGCTTTCTCACAGATGAATATTTAAGAAAATCATGTTCATACCACTGTTTTCCCCTCATTTTAAATGATTTGCTTTTAAAGTTTCTGTTGCTTAATGGAATTAACATTTCTATATAAAGAAAAACATTTCAATCACAAGCCATCATAAAATTTAAAAGTTATTACTTTCTTTTTCCTCAAACAAACTAATTTAAAAAAATATTTTACACTGTTCATGCATGACACGATGTTCAATTTAAACACAACAATTCTTAATTCTAATGACAAAGGAACAAATCTGAAAATATCACAAATGAGACTCATGCAGCAAGCACAGATTCTACCTACTCCAGCACGAGAAAGAAGATCCCTACTTTGTGTAATGGAGACAAGGCTGCATTCCAAAACAAAAGTGAAGGCATTGCTATTTTCTGTTGAAAGATTACTTTACTGAATTCAGTACTCAACACTGTAAAGGTTGGTCTGGTGTGTTTATGGGTCCAACATGTACGATTAAGAAAAACACAACACTTTCAATCAGCCTCAATAATTTTTATATGTAAAAGGAAAAGTGAATGAATTACACTCTGATTTATACCTCTTAATTTTATTTACAATGCAGCAAGGCCTCACTTGTCTGAATGCAGTTGGTCTGAAGTGTGCCAAAGAGTGTATGATGTCTAACTAAGTGTCTCGAGTGTGACAGATGGGGTGAAGATGAGGGGAAGACATGTTCTAGATACTCATTCAGAAGGTAGCACATGAACAGGGGTAAGGGGAAAGAACCAACATTCCAAGTATCTTCTACCAAAGAGCAAACAAAAATTTCCATTCACATGAAAGAATTTGTTCTTCTCAAACGGGGAAATTTTGAAATTAATTTCATTTTCAAAACAATCCAGTGAGCAACTGTGCATTATGATAAGCACGTATTCAACAAGGAAATGTGTCCATAAACTATGTTTTTTGTAAGAAACATACTTTAATGTTTAAACTTATTCAACCAAATTACATATTTACTTTATATATAGTTCAATAAAAATAAAGTTTAATAACTAACTACCTACTATGAGATTAATGGAATCAATGCTCAAGTGTGTTCAGCAATGGAAAATAGTTTGTTGTCAAAAAGCTTCTCATTATACAGCTTTCCCCAGCCTTAACTCTCTTTCTTTGGTCCAAATATTTTTCTAGTATCCTGTTCTGAAACATCCTCCACGTAACCTACATTCTTCCCTAATTATGAGAAACCAAATTTCCCACAAAAAACAATAGGTCAAATTATAATTTTGCATTTTTCACCTTTCTGTTCATAGATGTAATAAGAAGGTTCCAAACCAAACAGTAGTGAGCATTCCCACATTTTAATCAGCTTTTAATTTTATCATAACTATCTTACATTTTTTTTCATTTACCCAGTCTCTAAATACAGAAACTAGACATCCTGATGTTTAAGTAATGCCCTCCATAGAACAGACAAAAGACTTCTTTACAGTAAAGACACAATTTCACTTTTTCAAACCACTCCTTTCACAACAACTTCATACTGGGGTAAGCAGCAATCAATTATGAATTTCAGATTCAACTGTTTGCCAGATTATAAATGAAAACTGCACAGATACTCACGGGAATACATGGCAACAAAAGTGCAAAGGTACACAGATTCTAGTCTGTCACTTTTCAGCCAAGAACAGGCAGAATACAATAAGGCTAAACATGACATGACAGGCAGGCTAAATGTCTAACACTGCATTTTATTCTGATACAGTGAAACAAATAATGTGATGGCAATTTATGCACACGTATCATTCAGCATCCTGTATTTCAATTATGTTACTCTGAAAATTGGTATGGAACACTGGACAGAAAAAAAAATTATCACTGATCCCATTTCAAATGTTAACCTTCACTGATATACATGCATCTGCTTTTACATAAGCAAAATTCCAATCCTAACATATTACTGATAAGTCACCTATGTATACCTTTCATAAGTGGGGATCAGTGCTAGGTGCCTCAGCACTCTAATTTCATAAGCTCAGCCACATTAATGAATAAACATCCGGACACTATCTGGCAGTGATGGCAAAATAATCACACAAATACCCACTGCAAGTAGGACAAATACAATTATGGACAATGTACTGCTTTCCTCACTGAATTTCAACTATACAACAGGATCACAAAAAAATCAATAAATGCAATGATGATAACAGGAAAGTAAAAAAAGGTAAAGTTAAATACAACTTGCTATAAATTATTAATTTAGTTTGAAAATAAATTTGACAAAACACAAAATTATAGATTATATCACCAAAGTAAATGGATGAAGAAAAAATAATAATTTCATTTTAAAGTACAAAAATTCTGGTGGTAATAAATAACTCTTTGGAGCACGGTCCTCCTTGATAAACTAACAGTTGCTCTGCTATTCAATAAATTTCTTGTATTTTATGGAAGCCCAAGATTCATCCCTACCATCTTATTTCATCAACAGCCATTCAATTATTATCCTTCCATCTATGCCCATATATATGGGCTTAACTGTGAGAAAATGTTGATATAATTTTGTACAACATTCTTACAAACAGACATAATAGAGTCCTTTCACTGTGGTGGCAATTCTGATTCTAAATAGAATTAATAGGTACATGGATCTCAGAATATGTTTTACTTCCTGCATGGATCAATTCTGCTACAATTTGATCAATAACCAGAAATTTATAACTTTTCAACTCAATGGCAATCTCAACCTCAAAAACTATTAGGCT